AAAAAAAAAAAAAAAAAAAAAAAAAAAAAAAAGGTAAAATCTCATGCCTACCAAAATCTTCATTATCTTTCCACTAGACGAAGACATTTACAGCTGCAAGCAATCGTTTGTTTATAAGAGAAATATTTAGAAAATAAACCCTCCTTTCAAATTGTTCAATCACAATCACCGACTAACTATAAAAACCGTTCCTTGTTATTATAATTATAAAGAAGCGGTAGCATTCACTGATCATTTCCAGTCATTATTCAACTTTCGTCATTTTGTTTTCATCATATATCTGACACACCCTGATAGATTGTCCTAATTATGCCAGACAAGAAAATTATTCAGAAGACTTTCAACTACTGTCACTAAATTCAATGTGGGATCTGCATAATATCTTATGGGTTATGAGGTTTCGGCTGAAGCTAAGCATTGTTATGACAATGACCCCAAGTAATCTCTCATCAGTAGATAATGGAATTAGTTATACCTCTCTTTTCTGAAGTTCTGCTTCCTTCCTGCAAAAGTCAACACATCAAGCAGAAAGGATTTAAAACCAAAACCGACAATGTTAAGTGAAAAGGAATTCAAAATTCATAACTTGCCTGCTCAAAAGCCGAGCTTCTAATGATACACCTTCTCCTAGAGATGCAACCTGATAAGGACACAGGTATTAACATTTTCAGAAGGTAAACAGAAAATAACTGTATTGCACTGGCCTGAAATCACATTTTTATGTTTTTTCAGTATCCTTTTGACCGTGAGTACTGATAATTTCACTACCCAATAGGATTACCTGCTTCTCAAGCTGCCGAGCTCTTGATTCAGCTTCCTCGTGCCTTTCTTCTGCTATCCTCAGCTGAAACACACTTTTACTTTAAGACACAAAAACACTGGGTCTTTAAAAATTACTAAACCGCTAAATAGAGTACGAAACTGCTAGGATCACCTTTTCCAATAAGCAGTCATTTTCTTCTTGAAGCATGTCAAGCTGCAATTTGAGACAGCATCATTTAAGTGATGAGGGTAGTAAAATGGGAGGAAAAAAAAAAAAAACAGACTTTTAAACTTCGTCATATGAAAGTAATACACAGATGATTGATAAACAATAAAACGTATTTGCATAGCTCGGGCTGTATGTATGCTACATTGGACCTCACATCACCAATCAACTTAAACTCCTTATCTATACCTCATCTTGAAGAGCAGAAGAAGACTGCTGGCCAGTGGGCTCTTTATACTTGAAAGTTCCAAAATCTAGCGATAACCTGGAGATTGATAGGTCGAGTAATTCAAGGGATGTGTAAGCAGAAATGCCATCTATAAAACATCATATTAAAACAGAAATCTAGGCCATCAAATTTTTTATTTTCAAATGATCCGAAAGAGTAAACAAGGCATAAATCCTATAACAATTTCCTGACCAAAATATAAGCACCACACAAGGACAATTTTTAGCTTTAAGCTTCTATTTGCAAACATTATAAGATTCTGCTTCTCAACTACTTCAAATCTATTCCACTGAAAACAAAATATATTGGCTAAAAACTCCTCCCATCCATTCAAAAGGTTAGAGAAATCCAAGTTCGACTCGAAAATGAAAGGAGCTCCAAAATTAGAATAAAAGAATATCACTAAATAAAAGAAAAAAGATACCACACCTTTTATCCCTGCTCTTATCAGGTTGAGAATCAGCTAAACTCCCCTGCACCGGCTTAACCGACAAAGGCACGCCAGGTGGCACCATAGAGACAGTCTTAACCCTTAAATTGGGCCGCCCGACCAAACGAGCAGACAAAGGTTGATCCATAGAGCCACCATAAGAAGGTGACCGGCTCGAGCTGGAGCTCGACCGAGCAGATGGCGGCTGTGCCTCTTCGGGTGTCGTGTCGACCGGTTGAGGCGGACGGGCGGCCACAGAAGGATAAAGAGAAGAAGTGGGTTGGGCCTCAACGGGCTTGGGCTGGGCCGGCCGAAGATAAGATGCTGAACGGGCCGACACGGGCTGCTGGTCAACCGAGCTCGAAGATACAGATGGTCTAGTGGCCGGCAGTAGACGTGAAGAGGAGGGAAGTTGATCGACTGGTTTACGAACTGACTAGAGATTATTAACGTTGGAGATTCAGACAATGATGATTATTACAAAATTACATATGGTGTGGATTGAAATTCTGATTACATACTGCATTCGAGTACTAAAGCTTTTTCGCAGAATTGAAATTTTAGGCGATTATATATTGACACGTGTCTTACCAGCGGCGAACGAGTCCTAGAGTGCCTTCCTCCAGCAAGACCAATGCCAGCAGAAGGAACAGCCGAGTCAAAATCGTACAAGAGATCGTCCTCTTCTTCTTCCTCGTCTGCCGGCTGGTGGGCCATAACCTGAGCCAGCCTCTGAGCAGCCTCTTTTGCATTCTGTGGTTTTCTCATGCTAATTCCGGCAGAGCCAGACCGGATATGCCGGGACGACATGACTGAAGACACACTGCTGCTATTGACGTGACAGAAAGACTATCATTCGGCTGCACATCCACTCGCCCCAGATGACTAACTGCTGCCAGAATAAATAAAACTCAATTTACTTGAATTATTTACGAGTAACTCAATATAAATGCTATTATACAACAGAATAAATCATGAAAAGCTACATTTATTCTGTAGAGCTCACAGGCATTTCACCATGTCCACCTTTTCCCCTAACTAACATCAATCCATTACAGAACATGAACCTGCACAAAACATTAAAACCAACCCAAGTTCGATATAATTCAGCTGGGGCACACGAATGTGACAGCCGGTACGAATTGGTCGGCAGCCGAATGGGTTTTAAGCATCAGAATATTTCTGCAATGTCGAAAAACGAGAGCCAAAAAATCAAAACCCTTGATTTTTCCTCTTCAAACCACCCAAACACAGAGCAAAAAGCAGGTCTCTTTGAGAGAGAGCTAAACTCCCACCGTGAAACGAAAGACAGAATTTTTATGTTGTGGGCATTGTTCAAAAGCCATACTTAAACATAATATCAAGACATTATACGTAAAACACACAATCAATCATAGCCCACCACATATGAATCGAAGATCAATCAGATCCCAGAATAAAAATCCCTAATCAGAAGATATTCCAAAAATTCTCTTCGCCGGCATTATGCAGACGAATTCGAACCAGCAAATCATGCTCCGGAAATTCCAAATACACATGCGATATATACTACAAAGATCTATAAGACTTGAAAGATTACAACTTGCTTCTTGCTAATAAATCATACCTGACGATAATTTTCAACCAAAAAAAAAAGGATTATTCTCAGATGTTATGTTTCAATTTTGATTTTTCTATTATTAGATTCCATTGCCAGGACGTGGCTGCATAATCCGTCAACAGAAGTTACAATTTGGCGCTCTATTTGTATGGAAATGGAGTTGGATTCGGAGCTTTTAAGGAGGATAATAAACAAAAGGAAATTGCACCAACTAATCACGTGGCTAACTTTTTTTGGTACCATGTGGTCGGGTGTTTCATCCGTTGGATCATCTATCTTATCTAACTCTATGTGGATCCAACAATTAAAACACTCAATGAAATATTGTAATGAGATCGTAACATTTCCCAATAAAAGATCGTGTGTCGTTTTGCCAAAAAGAATTATGACAAACATGCAATTTACAAAAAGATCAGCCACATTATTTTCGTGTACACAAAATGATCGGCCACATCATATTTTTGTCCGTCATAATCGAACAAAATATTTCGTTTTATCAAAAATAAAAGGCTGTGTGTCGTTTTGTCTAGAAAATGAAATCGTGACAAAATTTACGAAAAGATCGTGTCGTGAAGTGCAATCTTTCTTTTATAATTTTTGCATAGACAAAATGACCGGCCACATCATATTCTTGTCATAAAATCGAACCACAATTTTCGTTTTATCAAAAATAAAGGTCGTGTATCGTTTTGCCAAGAAAATGAAATTGCGACAAAAGTGCAATTTACGAAAAGATTGCATTGTAAAGTGTAATTTTTCTCTTATCATTTTTAATTTAGACAAAAATGACTGGCGACGTTATTGTTCGTCATAGATCGAGCCACATGTTTCGTTTTATCAAAAAATAAAAAGTCCGTGTATCATTTTGCCAAAGAAAATGAAATTGTGACAAAAGTACAATTCACACAAGATTATGTTGTGAAGTGCAATTTTGCCCATTCTATGAATAGTATGTATGTTGTTTTAAGTTTCAATGTGAAAAATACAATTCATGAAATATGTATATGGTAACATGATGTTCTATTTTACCTGATA